GTCCTCAGGGTGTGTCAGAGTGCATGTAAGCATGCGTGTGTGAAAACATGAGCACATGAGTATGCATGTACGTCTGCACACTCACTCACACACACACACACACACACACACACACACACACACACACACACACACACCCTGTGTGGTGAATAGAAGGAAATATACAAACAATAATAACAGGACCAGGTGATGATCAAAACACTCAGAACTTGGTCAGAGAATACTGAAGCACATCTGTGTCACGATTGTAGAACGGCACTATGGAACAACCTCAGTTACTTCACTCCAGCTACATGATATCATAAATATACAGGCTGAATATAGTTATATTATTTGTATCATATCATCATCTGATGCAAATTCAAAAAGCAAGGGTTATAAAACAGCAACCTTGACATATCTGACAAAAAACTGACACAATAAAAAAAAAGCAACAAAGCAGCACCTGCAAGGGTGGCCAAGTTTTAATGCATAATGCCACATCAAATTATTAATTTATCTTAATTAACAAAAATGTATCTATTTTTAAATGTCTATTTCCAATTTCTAATTAACCTTAATTAACAAAAACATCTGAAAATGTTAAACTGTGTCTACAGTGTGTGTGCAACCCTGTTACCACATGACTTTCCCCATTACAAAAATGTAACAAAATATGAAAATGTCCAAGTTTATCTGTATCCTTTCTAACACAAAGACAAATAGTACAATTCTGTTTTTTATATATATTTTTTCAACCCTGTTACCAACATTATTTCTAATTTAATTATTTTTTTAAAAACAACCAAATCAACCATATATTTTTTCTTTAATTTATGGGAAATCTACAATAATCAGTATAAAAATCAGCATTTTCACCCAAATATCTAGACCCTCTTGTGTAACAGCTTATTTTAGGATACAATGTCAACACTGTTACCCATTCAGGTGTAGTTTCTAGATTTTCTATAAAAAATTATCAACAAATATTTTTGTTCTTTATCTGTATAAAATAAAAAAACAAGACAAAACTAAACTAAATAAAATGCTTTATATCTTTTTATAAAATAAAAACGAAGTCCTTGGGACTTGTGTGGTATGTTTGTGCAGTTATTTTGTCAAAATGGCAAGTGTCGCATTAGGACCTTAAATCAAAACCATACTTTTGCAAGTTTTAGTTCAAACCTAGTCTCTCGTTCCAACTTCGCTGTAATAGAAAATATGTCCAAACAGTAAAGAAAATTACATTTGTCATGTAGATTATAAAAAAAGTTTTCTGTATTGATGCTCCTGAACAACCAGCTGTGAAATAATCCTTAGATCCTTGTGTTGTTGACTTTCCTCGCTTTAAGCATTTGTAGGTCTATTTCTCACAACACAAGATCAGTAATACATGCTGCATGTGTAAATAATATCCACATGGCGGTTTTGGTTTGATTTAATTTAAGGACTTTTGCGGTATACTTGCAATCTATCCTGTGGTGTGTAATTGAGTCAAATGTATCATGTTATTCTCTGCTGCTTACTCCCGTGTCTCAGACTCGCTCTGAATGCACAGTACACAAGTGCAGCTCTGATGAACAAAGACGGCAGCTGAAGTAATCCACTCTGCATTCACTACCAACCTCCAAAACCTCCCTCTCCTCCTCTCCCTGGACACCGAAACCACTGCCATCAGAATACAGGAGCTTCCTGTGAGGGCCACACACCGAGCACTTCTTCATAATACAATATACAAACTGACACCGGTGCTAGTATTGGTTGTACTTCAGAGCTGATTCTTGTTTAATATTCCTTTAATTTGACACAAACAGAAATAAGGCTGTGAGGGACAGAAGTACAGTCAATCGATGACTATCTCATTGGTATTCATAGCTATTTGTATGTAAAGTGTGTTTCAAGCACACATACATTTTGAAACATTTGCATAGATATGTCAATATCATGAACATTAAAGGATTCGGAAGCATGTGTATGTCCGTTTTATGTTTTAAGTGCTGTGATACAATGCTATTGTACACTTATCAACAACATACCTGACAATGATTTGTAAACTTTTCTGTGAAGTTGTATGTAAAAGGATTTAAGTTTTAGGTGCTGCTGATACAATGCTGCACATCAAATGATTTTTAAACATTTAAATGTATGCATATGTATGCAAATGGTTTTATGCTTCAAATGCTGTCAATGGGTTGATACTGCACGCCTAGCAACAATATCATGAACATAATACACAATAAGCATAAAAGGATTTGTAAACATTTTTTTAGTTGTACATAAAAGAGTTAAACTAACATAAAGTTAGCATAAAGCGCTGTTGATACAACGCTATTGCATTTTTATCCACGCCAAATGATTTGTAAACATTTGTGCATCTTTGAAGTTTTACGTGAAAGGGTTAACATTTTAAGCTCTGTAAATACAATGCTGTTTGTCAACAACATCAAACAATTTGTTAACATTTGTACATCTCTAAAGTTATACACAAAAGTGTTTAGGTTTTAGGCTCTGTCGATACGATGCTACTGAAAGCTAATCAACTACATCAACATCAAAGGATTTGTAAACATATGTCTGTAAAGTTGTACAGACATAAAAGGGTTTACGTTTTAGGTGCTGTCCAATGCAATGCTATTGTAAAAAGGATTTTTAAACATTTAAATTTATGCATATGTAAATGGTTTTAGCAAAAATATCATGAACATGATACACAATAAACATCAAATGATTTGTAAATTGATTTTGTAAGGTTGTACATAAAAGGGTTTATGTTTTAAGTACTGACAATGCTATTGCATGTTTATCAACAACATCCAAGTCAAAGGATTTGTAAACATTTGTATGCTTGAAAAGCTCTACATAAAAGGGTTTACGTTTTAGATGTGTCGACACAATGCTATTGTGTATGACTGTAAAGTTGTACGTACATAAATGATTTGATACTAATGTAAGATTATCAACAACATCCAATGATTTGTAAACATTTGTACATCCGTAAAGTTGTACATACATAAAAGGTTTTATGGTTTAGGCGCGGCTGATATGATGCTATTGTATGGTTATCAACAACATCATCAACATTAAAGATTTGTAAACATTTGTACGTCTCTAAAGTTAAGCATATATAAAAGGTACTTTAAGTGATACTTTAAGTGATATGCGATATCATGAACATCAAAAGTTTCATAAACATTTGTATGTCTCTAAAGTTGTAAGTGCAAGTTTACATTAGATGCAGTCAACAACAGGTTGATTTAATAGTTTCAGCGCCTATGCAAAAACGTACATATGCATTTTACGAACAAATACATAATTTTTACAAATCATGTTTGAAGTCCACAATGAACTTAACATTTCACAGACTTAGCGATCAACACCAGCCACATGACAATACAATATACTTAACAGACTGTACATCTTTACCTCACAGACTTATTTTCCCTTGCATCAAATTAAATTGGGTAAGGTGGCCTGATTCTGTGAGAATGTAATGCAAAAGTAACGTCATGACTTCACCTAAGAAGACCAAGTCAGCATCTGTGCTGCTGATCCTAGAACAGTTGTGGAAAGGGCAGATAGGATCTCGCATTCTCTACATGAATCTGAGGACACACTGAGCACCTGACTGCAGAACAGTGTGTGGCTATAAATTACGATATCACACTCCTCCTGCTGCAAAGCAAACACATGGATCTCGAGTGAGATGCGCTGCGGCTCCTGCTGCTGAAGATGACGAGTCAATTAAGAACATTCATATGCTGGACTGACCTTGTCAAGAAAGATGTCTTAATGTCTATCTGTAGGTAATGTAATTTTTTTTTAATTGTTAAATATTTCCCAGTCCTAATTTAGTCACATCTTGCACCCTGACCAGCCCAACACCGCAACGTAACTAATTATTTTTGTGAATCTGGGCGGCGTAACTAATCATTTGTTATCATATTGTTATGAGTTTTTCTGACCAATGGCAGATGGGTCTGTTTGGGGAACCTGTTTGAAAGTATTTTTCCTGTCATGTTTAATAATATTAGCGGCTTGAAAATTGTCCAGCAACCATTGTACGTTTACTTGCATGATAAATATGCATTTACACTACCATTAAAAAGTCTGGGGTCGTCAATACTTTTTTTTTTTTTTTTGAAAGAAATTAATACTTCAGCAACACTTCATTATAAATTTTTTTTTAAGTCTTACGGTTTCAAATAAATGCAGCTCTTTTCTATTCATCAAAAAAATCCTGAAAATGTATCATTGTTTCCACAAAAATATTAAGTGGCACAATTGTTTACAACATTAATAATAATGTTTCTCGAGCAGCCAATCAGCATATCAGAATGATTTCTGAAGGATCATGTGACACTGAAGACTGGAGTAATGATGCTGAAAATTCAGCTTTGATCACAGAAATAAATTACATTTTAAAATAAAAATTACAATAGAAAACAGTTCATTTTAAATTGTAATACTATTTCACAATACTACTATTTTTACTGTATTTTTCATCAAATAAATGCCATGGTGAGCAGAAGATAATTAAAAAAAAACAAAAAAAAAATATTAACGACCACAAACTTCTGAACAGCAGCGTATCTATTTTTGATTATAATATTTCTAAATATGATACGTATCAAATCATCATATTTTGATGATTTATGATTATATGATATGATATATACATACAGCAGTAACCACAGTATATAGTACCAATATTATTAATACTGAATATGTAACCTATTTATGGTAGGACCAGACTTGTTTGACAAATCACTGTACAAATAATGTTCGAACAACACAATCTGAAGAATGAGATAAACCAAAAATGTTTTTGAAAAACTACACTCCAAAAAGTATTCAAATGAAACAAAGGGGACAAAAAAATCTAAACAATTAGTGTTACCGAAGAGTAAACGCACACAAACACAACACACACTCTCCTGTGCACGATACACACAGCAGCATTCTCACACTACTATCCACAGCAATATAAAGCAGGTAGGATGTACTGTAGCTTGCACACTCACTGTGGCTGGCTCATGGTGTGATGTGCAGCAATTGCTGAATGGACGTCCTCTTTCGACTCTCTCAAACGTGAGCTCTAGTTTGTGCTAGACGGAGGCGACTTCACTCATACCACACCTGAGGAGAAAGGCAGAGAAACATACTCTCTTTAAACACATCGTAATATCAAGTAAAGGCTTATTAGCAACTTCTGTGCGTGTTTTAAAGCTGAAATTCACCACTATATGTTTATGAACACATGAACATCTAGTTCAGCCGTGACACAGTTATCCTTGTGGTGCAATGAAATTGTCACTTATGCAATAAAACCAATGAAGGGAGATATTAGATCTTCCGTACCCACTGTATATATATATACACACACACACACACACACACTTGGGACTTTTGACATTCTTTGTGAAACTTAATCAAATTTAATAGCTAATAGGCCTATTTATAATCATCTGTTAAGCATTCTATTGCATAATAATGTTTGTTAATGCTATTAAGAAAAGACATTGCATAGATATTTTTTCTTTAAATTACTTTTCATTAGCATGAGAGGCAAACAGTACCTTTCACCTAAACAAGAATGCTAAAACAAACCCTCACATCTTCCCCTTTCCTCTACCTTGTCCCACTTCCATCTATTCAGACTTCCTGTCTCACGGACCTGTGTACGCTATGCCTTATTTGGCTTAATATGATTTGTCTTGTGTACTAGTTTCACCTCGTCCCCCAGCCTGAGAGTTTGAGACACCAGCATTTGTCAGTCTCAGTAAATGAAGCTTTCATCACAGCACTTCAGTGATTGAAGCCGGTGGTAAACGAGCACTACGGACCATTCTTTTTATTGATGCCTGTCCATACCAAGGTTGACAGCTTCATCGCACCTTGACACAAAAAAGGGCAATCGTAGGCAGTCTGAGCTTTGTGTAATGCTTACCCTGCTGAAAATCAAGCTGACTTTGTACAATAATAACCTTGTTTTTTTTAATTGAGTTGAGGTTGTTATTAAATGTGAATGAAGCACTATGCACTCAGCTCACACACGCATACCATATGTAGGACAGTATGAATTCTGGGAATTCAAAGGGCCAGCCTTCGCTACAAGAATATGTCTTGTCCCGTTTGAGGGACCCCTTTTAAAAGGGTCAAAGAAAGTATAAACGAATCATCTTTAGCTCTCTGTAACCCCTTTTGTTTGTATGATCCCATATAGCAAAAAAATATTTATTTTCAAAATATACCAAAAATATATTTGCTAAAAGAGGTTTCAAAATATATTTGCAGAAATATGTTTTCTATAATATATATTGGCTGTTTTTTTGTATATTTTGGAAAATATATTTTAAAAATAAAAATATATTTAAATACAAATCAGCAAGGAGTGACTTTACAATGTTCCAAAAAAAAAAAAAAAAAAGACAATACAATATATGAAAAAAGAGAACATTATTATATATATAAATCTAGTTTTGATCTCTAATAAGCTATTTTGTCCTCATTTGTATTTAGCCTACATATAGGCTACTGTAAGATTGGAAATATAGTGTCTTGCCTTTAAAATACATTTTGAAATAAGTTTTGGTATATGAAGGTTGAAAATAATATTTTCTCTTTGAAAAATATATTTCATTGAGCTTCACTGATTGCAACATATATTTAGCTTATTTAAAATACTTTTAGAATCTTTTTTTTTTACTATATAAGATTATCAATTTAAAGGCATAGTTTGATTTGTGAAATGGTTCATTAAAACTGGTTCGACTGGTTCATTGAAAAGAATCAACTCTAAAGAATGATTTGCTTAGTGATTTTGTTCTCGTGTTCGACTCAGTGATCCGTGAACTGGATCGGTGAACAAATTATATAAATTTGTATCAGTTGATTCTTTTTAATTAACTGGACCGAATGATTTGTTTATGAATTAGATTGGTATGTTTGTGATTCATTCATGAATCAGACATGTTCTCAAATGTCAATAATGCAACATATAGCAGTTATCTAGTTAAAGCCGGCAATATCATCATATCTAAACCTATTCTATGTAATTTTTTACCTTTCTAATAATTGACCTTTCTGCTTGCATTCAGACCTGCCTCCATCAACCTATAGATGGAACCAAGTCTTGATAATCTCTTACCCTTGAGTGTAGGTCACAATACGGTAGAAAAGATCTGTCACTACTTCGGTTTCATTGTGACTTTCATACCTCACAGAGAGGGAAGATTATCAACTTAAATATCAACTTTCGTAAATATCATTTGATAAAAAAACAAACAAATTGGAATGTAGTGCACATTTCCTGCTTGCTATTTTTTAATGTGTTTTTGTTATTTTATGGAGTCTGGCAGTGTTTGTCACTATGGGCTGTATGGAAAAATTTTCAAATCTTCAAAATAGTTATAAAGAAATTCTCAGAGAATAATATATATATATATTTTTTATAATCATGATTTTCACTTTGGCATAAACTACTCCTTTACACCCTCTAAATGGAGATTTGTTTCTAATGTACTCCTTTCTAGGTTTATACCAATACATCTTGTTCTGATATCAAATATTCTGTTAAAGGGGTCATATTATTTCAATTTTTCCTTTCTCTTTGGAGTGTTACAAGCTCTTAGTGCATAAAGAAGATCTGTAAAGTTGCAAAGACTAAAGTCTCAAATCCAAAGAGATATTCTTTATAAAAGTTAAGAGTCAACCACGCCTACCTAAAACGGCTCGTTCTAACACGCCCCCACATATCTAACCCAAATATTCAGATGTGTGCAGCACATTTTATGGAGGACTGTTTCCTGATCCTGGGAGAGTAGACTACAATGCCGGCTGTTCTGACTCACAGACTGTAGGTAAGTTTTTATATTTAAAGAATTTGCAGTGTAGTCAAAGAGTAGTGTAGAGTAGCGTTTGTAGTTTGTCATTTCTCCGATCACAAATGCAGACATGGTTTTATGTTTATGCGGCGCAATGCAATGCAATGCGTAAAAAGACAGTACAAGTCATTATAATCTGTAATTATGTCTCCACTGGATGCAACAAATGCCTCGTTTATAATGGGTTTTAATGTTTTTGTCTCGTAGCTCCTGCCGGACACGGCATCAACAATATAGTAAGGGACGTAACATTTTCGTCTCACGCTTGAGGTATTCGGCCAATCACAACGCACTGGATAGCTGGCCAATCAGAGCACACCTAGCTTTTTCAGACCGATGAGCTTTGTAAAAATCGATGTGTTTCAGAAAGGCGGGGCATAGGGGAGAAACAATAATGTACAGTATGTGGAAAAGAAAGTGTTTTTTTAACCTTAAACCACATAAACACATTTCATTACACCAAATACACAAAATAATGTTATTTTGCAACATCATATGACCCCTTTAAAAGTATAACACTTGGTCCTGGTTTCCCTTTTATTCATATTTAAATGCACATGAGCTACTGATCTGTTATATCATGTTTATTAAAGTACATCAACATAAAAAAAATAAATAGCAAAATTTTATCGAAATCGTTGTATTATAATTCTCAACAGTCCTATACACTATAAAAAGTGCTTAAATGTATTATACATTATAGTATAAGATAGTATTATCTAAATGCATGAATGTATTATCTGCATAGCTGTACAGTGTGCCATATAGACCTTAACTTGACAGTCACCTCTGATAACATTTTTCTACTATTGATTTTAAAACATGTACTTTCTGTAAAGCTACTTTGAAATGATTCTTATTGTGAAAAATCTTATACAAATAAATGTGAATTGAAACTGAAATTAAAAAGTAAAAACTTGCTATTCTTACCTTAAGGAGTTACAATCCCTGTTGAAAAAACAGCATATGCTGGTTAGGTATGTTTTGACGCTGGGATGCTGGTTTAAGCTGGTCCTTTGCTGATTTATGCTGGTCCTTTGCTGGTTTATGCTGGTCCTTTGCTGATTTATGCTGGTCCTTTGCTGGTTTATGCTGGTCCTTTGCTGATTTATGCTGGTCCTTTGCTGGTTTATGCTGGTCCTTTGCTGATTTATGCTGGTCCTTTGCTGGTTTATGCAGCTTAAAGCAGCAAAGGACCAGCTTAAACCAGCATCCCAGCGTCAAAACATACCTAACCAGCATATGCTGTTTTTTCAACAGTCTACCTGATCTGACCCATAAAAATTATGTTTGTTGTTTGTTATGCTACTGTAATCAAGTCATTTGAAATAATACTGTTGACTTGAATAAAGCTGTTTAATTTATAGGTTAGGACATATCACACTTTTTAGGTGACCTTAAAAAAATTACAGCCAGCATATATAATATTACCACCATATATACTTTCTACATTAACATAACGTTTCATTTTAACAATATGCTACATTAATTAGTAGCTAGCATAAATGTTGAAATTAACATCAACTAAGATTTAAAAAAAACGCTTTAGAATTATTTATTCTTAGTTCATTTTAACTATGTAGTTAACAAATGCAACCTTACTGTGAAGTGTTACCGATTTTTTTTAACGAATTTCTGTATTTTTATGAGCTTGTGATAATTGTGCTTGTGGTGATGTAGTGCAGTTTGCTAAATTGTAATAGTTTTTAAACAAAAAAGAAAAAAAGGGGAGGGGGGGCGAATTTGTATTATATATTTTATAAGTAGGCTAAATGTTATGAATAATAACAATAGCTTGTTTTGTCAATGCACTGTCCGATATAGAGCGAGCCGTCAGTGCTGTTGCTATGGTTACCTCCTCACGCAAAGCCGATATCTATCCACATATCTAACTTTTGTGTAAATACAGTTGAATCATACTATTTATACATATATGTAAAAAAAAATACACACCTTTTACCCCCAACCTTCTTTTAGCTCATTCGCAATCTGTGTACTCCTCAGGTGTCTTCAAATCATGTAGTAGTAGGCAAACGTACTCTAAATACTAGCTGAAGGGAAATTCAGGTCATATAGGCTAATCGAGCGTTTCTCAACCTGCAGTGCATGAGGTGAGATTGAACTCGATAAATATAACGAACGAATTATTCGTTCAGATTTGAATCAGGCACGTCTCAATGCTCATTTGGATTTGTTGTGTTGACCACGTGCCCAAAGAAGACCTCCAGAATCAAAGTTCGTAGATGCCACCATCAGAGAAGTTTAGCGGTGAACTTAACCAGACGGAACATATTCAGGCAACAGGAAAGCCTAAATACATGCAAGAAACATGGCGATGGAACCATCTCGTGTCATTTTGACGCTCTTCGCCAAGCTTCAACCCACTTGCAACCACATTTCCTTACTCGTCAGGAATGACCAAAAAGTCCTCATCAGCACAACATTAGATGCGCACTAAATTTATGAAAATGGAAGACGTGTCTTCTATTTCCCAGGCCTAGAGTGTCTTCTGATTAAAGCATCAGCTACTCAGCACCATGACAGCTCGTGATTTAGTGATGCAATTACCAAAATAACAGCAAACACCCATTAAGCCGATAATTGGTGGAATGGAAGCGAGAAGAAGCAGTGCTGAAATGCTCGTCTCCAAGGGGTACCTACCTCGATTTACATCCTTGAAACTTTAATCGTCTCCCTGGCCCTCGTGGTTATGATAACGTGTCCCTTGCCGATAATCAGAAGAGGCTTAAAGCGTGAAGGCAGTTTCGCAGTGGTCAAGCATCCGTTCTGCTGCTTCTTTCGCGAATAAAGCGGACGATGAGCAAAGGCAAGCCGTAACACGAGCATCATCGCTCAGCGAGGTGACATTAGGAGTCTACACGTCCAGAGAAAGGCATCGAGGAGTGCATTGTGTGTCTGTCGTGTTGTGCTGAGGGCTTCCCCCTTCAAATCACGCCAGGGACTCCGTCTCCATCGTGCCGATTAGACGCGATTCGATTGAAGCATGAACGCCAGCATCGCTCCGTTATGTGGAAGGAGGAGGTGGAGGAGGAGGAGGAGGAGGAGGGGATTCATTACGTAGAGAAAACGCTTTTCTATTGGTTTTCTGTACGAGAGATGGCAAATGTTCTTTGGGATAACCTCGCACCCATCAAAACACCTTATACTGCCCGCCGAGGTGCGAAGTCACGCTGACATTTCCACGACTAACGTTATGTCCCTCACAATTACTACTGCGTGCTGCAAACACGCATCAGTCATGCGTATAACAACGTCAAGAGCTGTCATGAGTCATATGGAGATGGCAGAGGTGACATTGAGATGTGAGGAATGCGTTTCAAACATGACTATTGATCGGGGAGGTGTGTGAGACAGTGAGAGAGATGGAGACAAAACAAAGGTCTGCTCTTGTTCAAAGCTGCTCCAGACTTTCAGATAAGACTATCATATTACTACTGTACATGCCATTATAATACTATCTTACAATAGTAATATCATCAAACCATTAAATACTATCACAGTACCCCACATAATGCTTTCATACCAATGTACATCATTCAACTATAATACTTATCTTACAATACACTGTAAAAAGTGGTGAATTGCAATCTTTACCGTCTGTAAAAAAAAAATCTGTGACATTTACCGTAAAATACCGGCAGCTGGGGTTGCCAGAACTTCGCAGTTAAAAACTATGGTAGCAACATTTTAGGTTTTACAGATTTAACTTAAACTCACAATAAAAAAAACATAAAATAGGAAGTGTCATGCAGGGAATTCTGGGAGTGTCAATTTACGTTTTTTCAATGTAAATTATACAATTACTTTTTCTTTTTCACTTCCAAAAACCGTAATTTTAACAGTACTTTACTGTAAAATTACATTAAATGTAATTACAGTTATTCACCGTATATAGTATGGAAAGTTACTGATAACCATTTTTACAGTCTTTTACTGTTAAAATCACAATAATTTTTTACAGTGTAAAGCGCCATATACTACTACTTGGTTTGACCCATAAAGTGTTTTGTTGTTATAAATTAATGTATTTAGGTTAAGTGATATTGAATAATATTTTTGACTTGAATAAAAGCAATTAACATTTTTTTTTCAGTTTACTGGTGTGATCATGCTACTTAAGTAATATCATAACACTGTATATACTACTAATCTCATAGTACTGTCATATCATAATGTAGATTACAATTGTCATTTTGAAATACTATAATGATATAGCCTACTATAATATTCCTGCACATTATTCCAGTATCACAATATAATATAATATTTGTAGTACCATCAGACTAGCAGTGTACTGTTACTTCACATTATAAAAATAAATTTTTCTAGAGTACAAACATGTATATTTGCCAGGTTATTAAGTGAATTTACTGTTCAAAACTTTGGAGAGGTTAACATTTTTTTATGTTTTTGGGGAAAAATGTCACTTGTGCGCAATTGATCAAAAATACAGTAAAAACAGTATTATAATATTGTGAAATATTATTACATGCCACATGATCCCTCAGAAATCCTTCTTATGTACTGATTTGCTGTTCAAGAAACATTTATTATCCATGCTGAAAACAGTTGTGTTGAATATCACGATTCCAACAGAAATATTAAGCATTTACTGACTGCTTGTTTTATAAAAAAAAAAAAACACACTAGCTTCTCTAATCTTTTTATATTCTATCTATTTGTTTTCTTTTTATTTATTATACAATTAACAAAAGCAAAAAAAAAGGCCTCTAACACTAGCTTGCTCTATTCTTTTTCTATTCTATCGGTTTTCTTTTTATTTATTATATAATTTCAAAAAACCTTGCTACGTGTACTGCGTTAAGCTAACTGAGATTTGTTATAGCCCTTGCATATCATTGCTCTCTTGTTGATTTTGATTGCATCCATTGTCCTCATTTGTCACTTTGGATAAAAGCGTCTGCTAAATGACTAAATGTAAATGTGATCAATTTTATTTTCAGGATTCTTTGATGAATAGAATGTTCAAAAGAACAGCACTTATTTGAAACTGAAATCTTTTGAAACATTATAAGTGTCTTTACTGTCATTTACTGTATGATCAATTTAATGTGTCTTGACTAAATAAAAAGATTAATTTCTTTCAAAACAAAATTCCTACTGATCCCCAAAATTTGAACAGTATAGTTGAATATTAGCTTTTTTTATTTAAAATATATTTTCTAAACCATGCGGTTTGTTTGTTTGTTTATTTATTTAAAAGCTCATTTTTGACTGTGGAATTATGGCAAATTATCATAAAATGTATCTTTTTGAATGTAAGCACATTTCTGTTCTTTTTCATGATTTAAAGTTGTGGTTATTTGACCTCGTGTCACCAAAACCTCAAAACTATCCCATTCTAACGGTTTTTGGTGACTCAACATGATGTTGCCTTTTGTCCTTTGTGTGTTCTTTGAACGAGGAATGTAAACAAGTAATTAAAGTCTGCAAAGTTCCCACGATTCCACGCATACCTGCAACACACACAGAACTTCCCCATTAACATATCTGGCATACCAAAGTCTGACACCAAACCCAGCCGGCCTACACACATATAGAGCAAAGCAGTCTCACGGCGAACCACACCTGCTCTTAATGCACTTAAAATAACAGTACCACCCCTCACAGTTTCTATTAATACATATCTGAAGAAACCTAAAGTTTACAATGCAAAAACACTTCATGACCCAACGTTAAATGTTTGAACCTGCTCAAAATAATCAATAAAATCCAAAAAAGATGGAATAAATATGGTGATTTACTCCTTAGAGCAGCTTTCTACTGTACAGAAAGTTTCAATGTCTCTTTTTTGTTGGAAGTCTGTGATGCAACGGCATGTAATTCCCTACAAATTAACTAAGACGCACGATGAGAATCATTCCATTCACAAATGTGGACAAACAGCAATCACAACATTTCTGAGCTCAAAGGGATCCGCCCACCACACTTATGTGACTCTGAACCGCACAGTGACATTTAACGCAGAAGTTATTTGAGGAAGACGAGGTGACTCACCTGCACTGGATTTCACCTGGACGGTAAGTCTTCACTGCTACTAAAACGAAACACGGCGTGTCATTAGGATTTCGAACATCTCAGCAAACTTTCTAAAACTGAAGCCTTCGAAAAGTGTATGAAGTCAAGCACAAAACCGGTAAACAGGTGAGTCATCATGAGACAGACAAGTTATGAATTATGCTTTTAGAAAAAGTTGTATTGCTCAGAAATGGATTGGGAGCGTGAATGGGGTTCTTAGTAATGTTTCATTTAAATATCAACTTTGTCTCAAATGTTTCTCCTAAAATTTCTTCGGTGAAATCCAAACAGACACAAATGAAACATACAGTTTGAGTACAGAGCTATGAAATTAATGTGGAATTTAATGAGAAACATTTGATTTCATATTGAAAACTTTTGACGTTTGAAAGAAAATCTGATAAGCAAGACACTCAATCAGAAGCCTTAATTTGCTTCCATCTAATCTCATTGCTGTCTAAGAGAAACAACTGAGATATTAAGTAAATCTAACATCTTTCATTAAATAAAATGTCTTTACATTTCATAGCCAATACAATCAACTGAGTGTTTAAAATACAGATACTATTATACTTAACGTGAAAACTTAATATAATATATTTGAATATCCTATAACATACTATATTACAGTATCCACTGAATATACTATAACATTTCAATTTAACATTTAATAAAAAAAATACTTTTTAATATTCCATTAAAAAAATTTACACATACATAGCTATTAATAATGATGATCATCAGCTCACATATAGCATATTCATTCTGTATGAATGTTGAGATCTTTCAAAGCAACCAATAAAACCAAATTATTAAAACATTTGATTAATATATATATATATATATATAAAAAGGGATTAAAACATGTAAACTTTCTGGACAAATGTAAGCTAACCTGACCACATTTACTACTTTGTTCTCAGGTGTTCATCAAGTGACTGCTGTCAGTTAAAATTTCCATTACGAGAAGATCTATTCAGTATTTCCCATGATGGCAGGTAATAAAAACATCAAAGAAATTAGGGAAAAATATTAAAGATAATAAAAATATAACAGGAAAAGGAATTTGATATAAAATCGTATCATGTGCAAATCACACTTGATGTTGTTTCCGTGATGTGGAATTCTCGAAATGCAAATGCAAAGTAAATGCAAAATAAAGGCGAGGTAAATAAATGATGCATTTACTCTTTGTTTCCTTTGGGTTTCCTCTCGTTATAGAACACGGTGACCCTTGCACTGGGTCAGAAGCCACCTTTTGCATGAATGGAGGAACATGCTTTAAAATACCCTCGGTGTCTACTCCCACATGTGTGTAAGTATCTTCACGAACAGGATATCTCTTGTTTTGTCATTTACATTATAAAATACCTATGAAATATTTTGCATGAAACCCTTGTCCTGTAGATGCAGTGCAAACTATGAGGGCAGCAGATGTGAGCAGTTCCAGCTGTTCAGCTTCTTGCAGGACAGTGAGGAGAAGGGCATGATCGCCGCTGTGGTCATCATCGCCCTCCTCATCCTAGTGGTGCTCGGTGTGGTCATCTACTACATCTGCAAGTGAGTCACATGCGCTTCTGACACTGAAGTTAAGCATTCAACACAAGTTTTATCGACATTATAAAGAAACATGCGGTGGATTATCACAAAAACTCGTCTCTCAGTTACCATAATAAAAAGAACTGTCTACAGTAGCCTAAAGCATGTACAATGGAAGTCGATATAATTAAGCAATATCACATGGTATTTGTTATGATAGAATTTCAATGTATAATCATAATCTTAAACATACTGATTTTGCAGCGCGCATTGTTTTACCATTTACTGCACTTTGTTATTCTTCTAGTTAGCCTGTTTAAGTTACCTGGGACGGCTAATGAAATGGAAGTCTCACACATTCATAGAAAATAGCCTACACTCTTAAAAATAAAGGTGCTTCACGATGCCATA